GTGGCCATGCCCGTGTGAGGAGCGTCTCACAGCACGGGAAGGGTGCTGAGTGGCCATGCCCGTGCTCAGCCTTTTGTCAGACAGTTACCTTTCTATTCTGTCAAACACATATGCAATAAGCTGAAACCAGGTTCAATCCTGTGGATATTCTGAAGCTAAAATCTAGATATTATAAATAGTTGCACTTAGGCATAACTCCAACTAAGTTAAATTAAGAACTCTATTATAGGGCCAGGTGAGGCGGCTCACGCCTGTAATCCCAGCACTTTGGGAGGCTGAGGCAGGTGGATCACCTGAGGTCAGGAGTTTGAGACCAGCCTGACCAACATGGAGAAACTCTGTCTCTACTGAAAATACAAAATTAGCCCGGCGTGGTGGTGCATGCCTGTAGTCTCAGCTATTCTGGAGGCTGAGGCAGGAGAATTGCTTGAACCCAGGAAGTAGAGGTTGCAATGAGCCAAGATCACACCATTGCACTCAAGCCTGGACAACAAGAGCGAAACACCTTAAAAACAAAACAACAAAAACCCCATGAACACTATTACATGCATGTGGGGACAGCACACACTTTTTTCTTGAAAAAATTCAATGTGAGTGGTCCTTGTAGACTTTGTTCTGTTAAAAATTGTTTCCGAGAAGGCTTGACAGCCATGGTGTGAGAGCCAGCTGAATTCTGTACCTGCCTCCACAGCCACTTGGAGACAGCGTCTGTAGAAGTGTATGCTTTATTTCTTCAAATTACACTGCGTCTCTGCTTGTGCAAAAGCATTATCCTCCCAGAATAGATGAGTTGGCACAGTTCAGGGATGCAAAATAGAACAGAAATTCTGGCTTAGTTAAAATGTCTCCGAAATTTTATTTCAACCTGGACTCCAGACACCGCTCTTGCCTCCCCTCCCCTCACAGCGGCGTTCGTTAAGCTTTGCCGCTATCAGCTGCACACAGCAGACGTGCAGTGAGGGGGTGTCCTTTCGCTTTTCGGGACTTGTTGATCCAGTCAGCCCCAGGGCCAGCATTGTAATCAGGATCTTCCTCTGGCAGAGTCTCCAGTGAAGACTCCCATCAAGGTGAAGGTGATCGAGAAGGACATCTCTGTCCAGGCCATCTCCTGCCGCAGTGCGCCCGTCAGCAAAACGCTTTCTTCTTCAGACACAGGTAACTGAGATGTGCCCATGTCGCTCTCCCTCTTAGCACCTTTGGTCCTTCCGAGCTGTTGTGATAGGAAGTAAGTATTTTGCTTTCAGAGTTTGGAAAAAGTTGTTTTGGGCCAGGTTTGGTGGTTCATACCTGTAATCCCAGCACTTTGGGAGGCAGAGGTGGGTGAATCACTTGAGGTCAGGAATTTGAGACCAGCCTGGACAACATGGTGAAACCCCATCTCTACTAAAAACATAAAAATTGCCTGGTGTGGTGGCGCATGCCTGTAATCCCAGCTACCCAGGAGGCTGAGGCAGGAGAATTGCTTGAACTGGAGAGGTGGAGATTGCAGTGAGCCAAGATTGCACCACTACACTCCAGCCTGGGCAACAGAGCGAGACCCCCCCCCCCTTTTTTTTTTCCCTCTTAAAAAAAAGTTTCGGTTTGGTTTGGTTTGGTTGTTGAATGGTGAGTGAAGAAGGAAGGAGAAAAGGGAACTCCAAATTGATCAAAGACCAGGAGCGGCATTCAGACTCCTGCTGCATTTTAGGGAATGCTTTAACAAAGTAAAAATAAAAATCCAGCTGAGACTTTGCATTTTAAAATTTCTCACCATTGTATTTTCTCTTGCACAATACACTAACTATATTAATATCAAATAAGTAGGACTCGGGACACCGTCATCACGGTCACTGTGGTTTTGTTTCCTGCTTTCTGCTTAAACCTGCTCAGTAGTAGTTTTCCCTTCTACTAGGAGATGGTCACTACTAATAGGAATGCAAATTTCCTATTTTTATGGTCACGTTCGGGTAATAGACATCTTTGAAGAGATGTCTTACCGACGCATTAAATCACTGCGCAGTCTAGATGTGGGGCTTCACGTTCTCTCTTCGCCCCCTGGTGGCCTGCTCTGAGGGGCAATGGGTGTTCCTTCTTGCCCAGCTCTCCCCGATTCTCTGAGTCCTGTGTCTGGCCTTGCCAAGGTCAACAGTTGGGCGAGGTGGGTGGTCGGGGAGGTGGAACGTTCTCACTGGAGGGGCACTGTCTTCACATGGATTTGTATTCTCTCTGCCTGGAGGAAGTTTACAACTGCCTTCTTCCCTCGTGGGAGGTTTTGTGGTTTTGTGGATACCACCCTGCTGGGTCCCCCACCTGCAATTCTCAGGCACAGGCCCTGCCTCTCCTTTTGTTACTGGAAAAGGGTCTTGATCTAGACCCCAAGAGAGGCTCTTTGGATCTGGCGCAGGGCAGGATTCAGGGCGAGCCCACAGAGTAAAGTGAAAGCAAGTTGTTAGGAAAGTAAAGGAGGCCGGGCGCGGTGGCTCAAGCCTGTAATCCCAGCACTTTGGGAGGCCGAGGCGGGTGGATCAC